ATTCCCTTTCATCCCAACTCTTCCAAATACTAATTCCCTTTCATCTCAATTCTTCCAAATACTAATTTCCTTTCATCTCAATTCTTCCAAATATTAATTCCCGTTCATCCCAACTCTTCCAAATACTAATGCCCTTTCATCTCAATTCTTCCAAATACTAATTCCCTTTCAGCCCAATTCTTCGGAATACTAATTCTCGTTCATTCCAATTCTTCCAAATCACAATCCCTTTCATCATCAGGTCATCAGCTTTATTAGGGGGGATGTGATCTCCAAAGCCTCCAATCTCAAACCTTGTTGACCTTGTTGACCTTGAAGCGGGGGGGCCGTTGATTAATCCGACGTCGACATTACTAGCGATGGCCTCCAACCTACCAGCGATAGCCTCCAAACACTTGAAAATGAGTGGCGGTCAAAGAAGCGCGTGGCCACATAGTAGGCGCGCCCAAAGGTGTGGGCATGGCCAAAGTCCGCCGCAACGAGCTGTTTCGGCTTGTCGGCCTCGTTGAGCTGCGTTTCACATACATCCTTCATCGCAACAACACCTACCTGGAGCCCTGAACACTGCTTTTTTTCAGGTGCACCCCAATATATCATCTGCTGTAAAGTTGGTGCGTGCTCAGGTCCTGGAGGGACACGAACGTCAAATAACGTCAACAATGTCGTGAAGAAGAAACCTCCCTCATCGTTTTGAAGGGTGCAGCACAGCCAACGACAATCTCAGTTGCATGCAAGGCACGGCTTGACATAAAAAAAGAAAAGCATCTCTCGAGGGTACAGGTCTAAACCCTGTCACCGGAACCTAACCAATTTTTCTCCAATGGGCACTGCCACCGTGGCACTGCCACCTGGGATCGATCGGATCGATCGATGGGGCACCGCACATCCATGAAGTCCTGTCAGGTCAACGACTGATCCCTCAGGGCGCCTCGTGAAGCCACAGCTCAAATGCGAAGACCCGCTTCCGTTCCCTCAGCCCATCGAAATCGACGGTCTCGCGTCTCCCTCGCCCTAATTGATCGCAGGTCTGTCGACTAAGCTCTCAGCAGCATGAGGTCCCAAACGGCTTCCAGGGCTGGACCGACCCAGTTGTCCTAGCCGCTTCGATCGCGGATCTGCACAACGTGTGCAACCCAACCTTGCCAAACATGCCAAGCGGGCTTGCCGAGCTGTCAGTCTTTGGAGGGCTGGTGGGGTCAACCATTTGGCTTCACAGCATCGAAGAACCCATGCTGCATGCTCTCCTCGTGATGTTCCCGGAGCGCCTGAAGTGCCCCCTTGAAGTCAGTATTCACTGAGAGGGAGAGGCGATAGCCCTTCTTCCGTGCAGCCCGCAGCACGCGACACACCTCGCCACCCCACATTGCAGAGGAACCCGCCATGCCGCACTTGGGTTTTGGGGTGAAAAAATGAACAAAAAAACCCATCGGACCTGAAACTCTCCCTGAATCTGCTCCAAGGCGCATCTTTAAGCCGCTCCTTCCGCTTCTTCTCTCGCAAGAAGTCCTACAATTTGAGGCTGAATATCACGCACCACATGAAAGATACCCTGCTTGTTTTGCGCTTCGAAGCTGCGGCACGCACCAAAAAACAACAAAGACACCGAAAACAACCAACGACCCTCTCCAGTGCGTGCGCATGCGTGCGCTCCTGCTGCGCATGCAGTGGCAAAGATGCACGGACCCGATCCAGAAGTGCCACCAGTCTGGCAGACTCGAAGACCTCTCCTGGCGTTGGCAGAGCATCCATCACGTTCCAAGTGCTTTTTCCCCCCTAGAATGTAAGGTGAGCGTTTTGTGCTAAGTGCAAAATAAGTAAAAAAAAATGCTGAAGATATGAAGCTTCCTCGCAACCACCAATGTTTTTCTTCATCAACGCTCGCTAGCCGCTACTTCAGAGTTCAGTCTGTGGTGCCTCATGCCCTTTGCGGGCACACACTCCCTGGAAGTCATGTAGCAGTCACCCGACAGTGCAACTTGATCTAGCAAATAGACCTGTTTCATGCCACTTGTTCGTGTTGCGTCGGGTGAAGTGTCTGCATTTTTTCTTGGTTTTGTGCTTGCCGCTTGCCGCTCGTCGGTCAACACGGAGCATTGCGTACGCGGAGCGCGTCTTGCACGGAGGCTGGAGGTCCATCAAGATCCCCCTACATGACGCACATGATGCGCCAGCCCAGGTGCATCATGTGCGTTGTAGGGGCGTTGCGTTTCGCCCGTCTATCATGTTGATCCACTTGCCCGGGCGCGCGAAAAGAGTCTCACTGTTCGCTGTTGCTTCTGCAAACGCACAAGCATCCGCAGGATCACTGCTGTCTTCGTGCCGACTGGGCCATGTAGCGTGAATCGTTGGAACACGCCTTTCTCAAAAGCTTGGGCTGGCTAGATGGTCCCACCCCTTCCCTCCAGCCCGTGCCAGGTATGACGACGATCATCCTGAATCATCCTCCCTAAAACTCCTTTGACAGGGTATTCTGCCATCTGCACTGCCTCCACCGCGTTTCCTCGTTCCCGGATGGAAAAACAAAACAGAACCCAAGCATCAGGCCGATGCTTTTGGGAAAAGCACACGCACCACTCTTCAACATGAACATCGCCCTGGTGCAACACCCCCAAAAACGGCCGCCAGGATGTTGCGCTGCAGCCTGCTGACCCGTCCTGGGGTGGAAGAAACGTAGCCCAAACCCAGACTTAACGTGCTGTGCAGCGTAGCAAGCACCCGGTCTGCGTCTCCAATCTTCAGCTCAAACGGCGACATAGGATGACCAATGCCTTGCATGGCCACATGGCCACATGGCCCTTCCCCTCCGCGTTTCAAAGACATCGCCGTCCCCACGCCGCTTGGGGGTGGAAAAAGCATGGTCTCTGGATTCTTTCCACCAAAACCATCAGATTTGTCAGATTCTCTCTCCTGCAACCTGCTTGATGCTCTCTCTCCCTCTCTCTCTCCCCTCTCATCTCATCCCTCATCTACCGCCATGGAGCTAATCTGTTCATCCACCAGGCTCTCGCACCAGCGCTTCATTTTGGACTGGGCCACCGCGAAGGACTCCTGCAAGCGGTCGGAGCAGCGGAGCACGCTGCGCTCCGCAGCGCCCCCTCCGCAGGGCCCGTCAGGCGAAGGCGAAATCGTTGTTGTGACAGATCCGTTCGTTTTTGGGGAGGGATGGGCGTTCGGAGGGCCCCCCCTCTCGTAATTGCTCTCGTAATTGTGTTGGTTGTCTTATATTATATATACTAGGGTGAGATGACTTAGGCCAATTGGGTCGAAATGACATACAACTTTCCCAGGGCAAGTCCTAAGTCATGTACAAATGTTATACAGGGCAATTTCATTGGCACACACTCATGACATAGGCCTTGTTGACCTGGTCCTGATTTCTTTTTTTTGGGGGGGGGTGGTGGGGGGCATGCTCCTGGAAGACTAGAGCTAATGAAAGTCCACATGTCATAGGAACATCTTTTGCTTTAAGTCTGCCTTTGTGCGTTTTTGCTCTCAAATTCCTATCTCTCGATGGTTTATTCATTGTTTAGATACCAAAGTCGTATGTCATGATGCTTGTCAATATAAAATCAACTGTTTTTAGGATCTTTGGTGACAACCTCTGGCATCTCTGATTTTGATGTTTTTCCAAGCTTTTGCTTCATGACATAAATACTTGTGGGGGGTAGGCTAAACCTTCATGACTTAGCCGCCGTAATTTGGAGGTAGTTTTCACAAGTCCTTTGTCATTTCAGCCTAGTATAATATACTGCACATCAGGTCGAAAAAGATAAGATTCTGCATTGTTCTGCACCATTGCAATACCTTTCGTCAGCCTCTCTCGTTCACGAAGACACCTCCTCCTCCTCCTCCATTTCCTCGCCTCGGGCGCCAGGCTGGTCATGGCCTCCGTGGTCTCCGCGCGAGCGAGCTGCGCACCCGAGCTGGCGCCCGAAGACATGATGCTGGCGAGCATGTCAGCCACGTAGCCACCACCACCCCCTATAGCCATAGCTGCAGTGGGGGTGGGCCAGCACTGGGAGGATGTGGTGGGAAGAATGTGGAGAGCGAGCGAGCGAGCGAGCGCCATGTGCTTGAGATTTTCAGCCCCAAATGCGTTTGTATATTTCTTGCTTGTACACTTCGGGCAAGTAAAGCTGGATGTGAGTTGCCTACTCTTGGATAAGCATGCTTCAAATTCATGAGGCTCTTTCTTCATCTTTCAGTCTTTCTTTTTGGTCCAAGATTCCTCTCATCTGCTGGAAGGGCATTGGGTGCATGGGTGCCTGACCTTCCAGCATGGCCCAAATCTCCGACCGAAGCCCTCCACTCCATCGCTGGATGAAGTCCTCCGGGGGTTGGTTCGACGTTCCGAAGCTTGCGGCGAAAACGGACCTGGCAGCCTGATCCAGCGATCCCGGTCCCCACCGCACCCTTTCCGGACGCAAGTTCGTTTGTTGTGTTCACCTTTTCAAAGGACTTGGCCACAGATTCTTGACGAAAAAAACTCGAAAAACCTGCTCACATGTTGGGGGGACTCCGGCCGCCTCCGGCCCCTGCTCCAAGGAATCTCCCCAATCCTGACCCCGGCCGTAGCTGTACAGGTCTGCCACATGTGCATCTGCTGCCAACACCATCCGCCGCAGAGCCCGATTCAGCTGCTCTTGCTTCCCACTGCTGCTTGCCTCCAAATCAGGGCATCTTGTTGATAAATCAGGATTCTCACTTGTCAATACCCCATAACAACCTGGTCAAAACACATCTTGCCCGCCCGCTTCCAATAGCTTTCACATGGCATGATTTTCCAAGAGTTTCCCCCTTGTTGAAAAGCCACCTTTCAGATGCTCGCCCTGCACGCACCTTCAAACGCTCTGTTTCAAAAGCAATGATCGTCTGGTAGAATTGGTTGCCCTGCATACCCTGGCAGGGAGGCGGGTGAGGGCTTCCACTTGACCACGATCAAAAAAGCATTCAAACTCCAAGGCAAGAACTTCCACATCCAATCCATTCCCGGGCTATGGACGGCTCTGGAGCTAAATGCAGCTGTCCCTGTTCCTGTCCTTTCAGGCCAAAAAATACCATGCATGTCTCCAAGCACCATTCTAGATGCTTCGGCCTCGTTGGTGAAGGTGTCATAGAGGCTCTGGACCAAAGTCATCGCACGAAGACTTCCCACAGCACGTCCCAAAGACAAGGGGTCCTGATACAGTGGCTTGACTTGGGCACAAGGAGGAGGAAAACTGATGAAATTGCCATTGAAAGCTGAAGAAAGCTGATGAAATTGCCACAAGGTGGCACGTGGTGGAAGTTGATTATTGAATGTTGGCTGGACTCGGGCTACAACCGTGATGAGATTCCAACAAAGTCATTGTGTCCACAGCCTCGACAATTGGACGACGGCACTACACTCGCACGTCTGTCTCAATCCCTTTGCGTCGCTTCAGGTGAAATGTCCCGATTCAAACATTTCACGGTGGCTGGCTTAGCCAAGCCATCTGGGAATTCAGCTCACGAGTGCCTTGGGTAAAAGCCTTTCTGTGTCCATCATGCAGAGCTTGAAAAGGCACTCCAACAGCACCAAGCTCATCACTTGGACCATCATCCATCTCATTGGACCATTTCGCTCACCCGAACCGATCCGCATCCGGCCATTGCCTCCTCACATCTTCCGCCGCCCGTCGATCAGCGGGGCAGGGAAGTCAGACTTGATGGTCCAGGGATTGAAATAACTCGGCTTCTCGCGTGGCCATTGCCTCAAGAAATCCTTGAGCGTCGTGTTTTGCAAGAGTCCTGGCACGTCACGGGAGATCTCATGAGGCATTCTTCGCAGGCCTAGAAACCTTTCATGTTCAATGGTGACCTAAAAAAGGCCCCCAAAAAAGAACTAAACAAGAACAAAATACAACCAACGAAACGAGATGATGAAGACGGAAAGAGCCAATATGTTTGACCACTGCCCTACCTTGCCTGGCGCTTGCCCAGTTGAGCTGGTCGAGGGGCGACGGCGGGCGCGCTGGGAGCTCGTGCTGCTCGTGCTGCTCGGCCGGAGCAGGTCTCTCCTACGGCCACGAGCAGGTCTCTCCATCCGTAAATGAGTGGCCAAGTTGCATCAATCATCTTGAGACACTGGTGGCAATATGTGGCAATGATGGGAGTTTAGAGGAACCCAAAAACACCACGGTGAAGGCACGGCTGTAGATTCGGATATTGCAATGGATACGTAACTATATGTAACTACTATATATAGTTCTTGTTCATCAAGCTCAACATAGCTCAACCATACATCTCCTTTTGAAGGCATCTGCCGTTGCAGCACGTTGAAGGCCAAGACCCAGGTATTGGATTGGTGCAGATGCCGCCGGTCGGATCTGATCAGGATGGCTGGACATCCATCTGGCCTCGGTCGGTGGTGTTGCTGATCGAACTCTGGGCAGCAGAGGAAGGCCTACCAGGTGAGGGGTATAAAACGTTACCGTGGTTTCAGAGTAGATGGCACAGACCCCAAGATGTCCTGTAGATGGGGATCCATACAAACCACCGACCTTGGGGATCGTGCCGTCTCCCTGATCCACTGTGTGAAGCTGAGGAAGGGAACTAACATGAGAATGTTGCTTAAGGCCTGGGGGGGCCGAGCATACTGGCTACTCAGCTACCATTTATAGTAGTAGCTTCTTAGGCTTGGATGCAAAGGAGCTCAGGGTTCTCCAACGAAGCTCCCCCCCACCTTCAAGCCTGAGCCTTAATGATTTAGTTCCTAGATTTGTTGGGAAAAGCGTGATCAACTTGTGACTTGGAATGGCACCAGACTCATGCCATCAATGGATATCAAAACCCTTTACATTTGCTGACAGCTAGCGGCTAGCATGTCTGATGAGCGTTTCATCATGGTCCCTCAAAATCTCAATCCATTTTTTGGAATCAGGTTGATCTCAACATCTATCTCTTCCCTCTCAACATCCCTTTCCAATCCGCCCTCGTGGCTGTTTTTGTTCTCTTTCTCTTTCCAGCTCTGCCCAGCCCAACCCATCTCCAACACCCCAACTGAGGCCAAACACCCCAGCCTCCTTCTCTCCTCCCAAGCAAAACAACCCCACTAACCCCACACCCACTAACACCCAACTGAGTGGCACGTTGATCATATCGATCCCGGGCCACCGGATCCGACAAGGTGTCGTAGGCCTCGCGCACCGCCGCGAAGCTCTCCTCGGCCTCCTGCGTTTCGCAGGGCCCGCCGCGCACCTGGCGGCACGGAGGATCGGTGATGTTCAGCCCGAACATGGAGTTCAATTGCATCGTTTTTCTTGATAGATATATGGTGTGTACACTTAATGTATACTATATCGATCTATGTATTTATTCAACTTATTATCTTTGTTTATGATCTTTCTATGTATCATCCATCGCCTCTAGCGGTGAAGGAAATGCCGGATGTTCCAGCCTTGTCGGGATGGAGTTTCAGCGATGCTTTCCGAAAGGCCCGGCCGATCTCCTTGGCCGTGGCACTGCTGCGGATGCCCAGGAGCTCATAGTAGTCATCGCGCATGGCAGACCCAAGGGCCGAATTACATGCGGCAAGCGTCTGCTGAGACGTTTTGAGCCAACATGGGGAAGAGGTGGAAGGGGAAAGCAAAACGACCTGAGGGGCTAGTCACGTTCGTCTTCACCCACACCCATTTATCCGTAATCCTGGCCAACCCCAAAAGAATAAACATTGTAAAGCCATCTGATCAGCTGCATGTTTTGCGTCTCTTCTGGCTGTTTTGATTTGCTGCGTGTTTTGACGTGTTTTGCTGCGTGCCTGTGACTCGATCGCTTTGGAGAGGTACTTCTGGATACGCTGCTTGGGTGATGCAAGACTTGACTTCACCATGTCCGAAATGGAGACACCTGGCATCACCACAACCAGTGCCAGTGCCGGCACGAAGTGAGCTTTGGAACATGTCGACGTCACACTGACCCGATCGGCCGGGCTATCAAAAAGAAAACATATATCAAAATGAAAATTTTCTACATCCTATCAAAAAGAAAACTAATTAATATCAAAAAGAAAATATCCTTTCACAAAGAGCTGCGCCTGCCACTGCGAACTGCCTTGGCAGCGCTGCGCAGTGTGAATCTGGATGTGCAGATTTCGTGGCAGGCGCAGCACTTTGAGCACCTCCAGTGGCAGGTTTTGTGGCAGGAGCGGCGCTTTGCGCACTGGAACTGCAGATTTCATTGCAGGCGCAGCACTTGAACCTCGAAGTGCAGATTGCGGGGCAGGCGCGGTTGCTCACTGCTACGTTGGAATGGCTCCTTCTTCTAGATTTTGCCCTCAAGTGGCTGACAAAAGGTTTGCTACCTTGGAATGGCACCTTCTTCATTCAAATTTTACCGTCAGGGTGGCTCACAAAAAAAGGTCTGCTACGTCTGGTGATAAAAGGTCTGCTACAGTGCTTCACAGGATGTATGACCAGATTTCCAAATCACCTTGAACGCGTCTTGCCTCGAAAGTGCAGACCCAAGGACCCGAAGACCAGGACGAAGGACCAGAGGATGAGAGGACCAAGGACCAGGGGACCAAGGGACCAGGCGACCAAGGGACCAGAGGACCAAGGGACCAGAGGACCAAGGGACCAGGACAAAGGGAGCAAAGGACCAAGCGATCAGGGAACCAGCAGGCCAGGACCAAAGGAGTAGAGGGAATTTTCTTTTTGATACGAATTATTTTTTTGATAGGAAACATTTTTTGTTGATAGGAATCAATTTTCATTTTGATAGGTATCCCGACAGGATCATACACAATACTACACACACACCGGGTGAATTCCAGTTGGAAGTAGCCTTATCTAAGTAGCCGCGGCCCGGGCCGTCGCCATTTCCGAACCCCCGACGGGCTCCCTATACACATGAGAGACCGTGGCATCACCACCGAGCTCGTCCGAGTTCCTGGCCGAGAGACCGCCGGAGGCCGAAGGTTGAAATGCATCGTCCAAGGCCACCAGCAGGTTCAGAACTGACTCTTCCAGCTCGTTGTTCCAAGAACCATCCCACACCCAGTCATACCTCACTGAGGGCACGCAGTGTCGGACATGACATGGACAGTGTCTGTGGTGTTCCAGTTTCTTGTATCGACTGTTGGATGGCTACTCTAAAGCAATCAGTGGGCAATCCTAGTCCAGTTGACTTCGAGCAGGCCACCGTGAAGTTCTTGCATCTTACTGCACAGCATTCGGAGAGAAAAAGACCATTGACAAGCTGTGACTCATTTTTCTTGGTGCTGGTTCGTCGCACATCCTTGACAACTCACGACTGCAAAGAAGAAGCCAAGGGTGAAACCGTCGAATTGTTGAGATGATGTCATTACACATTGGTAAGTTGACTTTCTATGAACAGTAATGCCAAACATACAAAAAAATGAACTTGTCAGCCTTACACAGGTGGTCCAGCTGCTAGTTGCTAGCCGTTGCTAGCCAAAACATAAGCAAAGGCGTAGCTTGCAGTCTGTGCAAGGGACGTTGTCATCTTCGTGCATGTCTTCACCTGATTCAAATCGTTTGAACTTCATGGATTCTGCGCATGGGATGTTGATTGCACCCGTCACGACCATTTTCAGGTCCTTCATTGTGAAGCTCTCGTCGAGACTTGAGATCCGAATGCGGTGCGTGTCATAGCTCCCAAAATCCTGCAGAACGTCAATGTTGCTGAAACAGCCTTTGCGGTTGTCCACCGTCAGTCCGCAAAGCATGCATCCCGTATTGTCCACACCTTTCAGGTGGTAATGCAGCGGCTCGTCGTCATCTTCCAGTGCGTCGTAACCATCGCGCTTCACCTTGAACAACATGAAGTCCCTTTTCCGGTATGGCACCGGGAGTTTCAAAAAGCCCGCCAGTCTAAGCTTCAACTCTCTCACGCTGTCATCCGGTCGGGCGGAACAAACGTGGTACTGTCCATCAAATATCACTGTAACTTTGCACCCAGCTTCTCTGTCATAGGGTTCCGCATGGCTTTCTCTCTCCTCTTCGCTGTCACTTGTGCAGCACGCTGTGGATCTAGTGGATGACATCTCAAGGATTCCCAGGATGCAAACGGAGTGAAAGCTCTAACAGCTTGAGCCGAGTGCTGCCATGTGTTGCGGCGGGCTGCGCAGCGCCGAGCTCTCAAGAACTTGTAACTTGCAAACACTGAGATCTGGCTGAGCCAGCTAAATGCACCCTTCATGAAACAAGCTGCATCCTAAAAACCTGCCCAAACCGGAGAAAAAACCTCTGACCGCAGCTGCGGAGCGCGTCATTGAACAAGTCCAGCGCTTCCCCGTATTCGCCCAGGGGAGAGCCTGCCGTGGTTCGGTCGAGAAGAGACGAGCAGGACCAGACCAGAGAAGGAGAGGTCCAGGATGGTGAGAAAACACCTGGTCTCTCGATATCCTCTTGATATCTCTTGATACCCAAAAAAAAAGATCGAACCAAAAAAACAAATGTCTTTTCTAATCTTGTTTGATTCTCAAAGAGTTGGATGGTCACGTTTGGGATGTGCATCGCCTGGTCATGCTTTGGGATGAGGCCCACCGGGCTCCATAACGCACAGCCAGACTCTTGGATGTGTCTTTTATTCTGGATCTGGTAGTCCGCTTGTAGCCCGAAATTCCATGGTCCATATCTATATAAATACAACCAGGAACAAAGCATTCTCCATTGATCCCAGAAGCTGACCATGAACCAAGACCTTTCCACGGCAGAGCCAGTGCACAATCGCAACTCGTGCATGCCAAAGTCCTCCAACAAAAAGCTAGTCCTTGGACGAATTTCAAACAGTCTTCGAACATGTTCAGATGACAAGTCCGTTCGGCGGCTAGGGATAAATATAGTGTGTGACAGACCTTGAAATGGAATTGATCTAGAGACCTCGCACAGAGAAAATCCTTCGCTGGGTCCACGCCAGTGCGGTCCATCCTTGCCCAGGTGCGGTCCATCCTGGCACACTTGCAAGGCCAAGACCTCTCCAGTTGGAAGAACAATGCCGGCCCAGGGCGCCTGGAGACTGGAACAGGACTCGTTTTCAGGGTCCTCAAGTCCGTCCTCGGGCATCGTCGCCGGAGCCCGCGTGGAGCGTGGTACAAATACCAGGGCTGATGCGATTCATGCTGCTTGCAGTGCGATCGCATGGCTTGCACCGATGGTGTGTAGCATCTTGACTCATCCCTAAGGTTGAAGCGAAGGGACTGGAAGTCGCGAGTCGCATCACAGCTATGCCCTCCGTGTCATTCACGCTAATTCACGCTTCGCGCGCGCGGGGGGGTGTTGAAATACGCCCTATACCTATACCCTTTACGCCCCTTTGAAGCGTGGAGCCAATGCTCACTGCAGCATGTCGCGAGGATCAAAAGGCCTTCCCGTATCCCATAGCTTGTCACGGTCATTGACGAAGTTTCAGTGGCTGAGCCTGAAAATACCGTTTTCAAGCCCTTGGCGGGCAGGGAGGGGGGCCCTCTTCGCTGAGAACATCGGGCCTCCAACCTAGTAGCTTCTTGCTGGTAGTAATGGCGATGGCCTCCAACCTAGTGATCAAAAATGATCCAAACTCTGAAGCTCCCAAAGCAAATAAGAGCCTAGCATATCCTAGCATGGCCTAGCCGCAGCCGGTACAGCCTCTTTTAAGGATCCAAGTTCACACCGCCATCCCACCAGTGCCTTGGTGTCCGGGCGTTCGAGCCCCGAAATGTGCAGCACCGTGCCCACATGGGGTGGGCTGTCGCCGCCCTCAAAAAGCACCTGAGATCGTGGCCAAAGCGAAGTAGAGACAGAGGTGCGGTGCTCTTCAACCCCAAAAGAAAGATCAATAGATGAATGTGGTCGGACAGGGCCAACAAATTAAGGTTTGAAGATTCAGATCTCTAGATGCAACCAGACATTCAACACACAAAAAAACACGCGAGCTTGTGTCATTCTGCAACCACACGTCAGTTTCCAAGCCTCCAGGGTGGATGCTTCATTGCGCTGCACTTTGCAGCCACGGGTTGGCAAATGGCCAAACCTCAGCAGTCCGAAGTGCCTCGAATCCTCCGTGGATTCGGAAGTCATGCATGACTGACAGTCATGCGTGCGTGTGCGCGCGTGTGTGCGCTTCCTCTTGGGACTGGACCGGATGTGGCACGATTTCAATTGTGGACATGCCCTGAACTAAGGCAACTCTGTGACGGATTCATCCATGTTCATTCTATGATGCAATTTGTCTCCGGCTTGCCGAGATGCTGATCCTCCTTCCCAGCTGCCACATCCTTCTCCATCTCCTGACTGGGATCTGCGGGACTATCTGCGGGCTACCCTAAGAATTCGAACGGGCCCTCCTATAGGTTCGGGGTCCGGACCCGAGCCAAAACCCTATCTGTTGGGTTGGGGCCCGGATTCGGAAGAACCTCGTCGTAGCTTCAAACAATTCAGTCCGTTGAGGGCGACGGCCACGTGAGCTTCAGCTGAGAATCCATCAAGGCCGCAAGTGATTCATTGCTAAGGCATGCCCCCTCTGCCGTCTCCAAGAACAGGGCCAAAGCATCTTCCTGATGTGCCATGGTGCCATCATCTGTGACCCTGTGACAAGCAACACAAACTCCGGCCACCTCCGCTATGATATGTGCATGGCCCCTGCGAAGTTATTGGGATGCCTCCTGTATTGAGATGCAGCAACCATTGTGAGCAAAACAGAGGTGCCCTGCCATCACACTGACGAGCTCTCACAGGAATCATACGCCAGCTCCTTTTCCAAGCTGGATGTCTTCATGGTCGGGGAGAGTGGCAAATTCGCTTTCGGGGGGGTCGCCAAGGGGTTCTCCCAAACAGTATGTGGCAGCCTGTAGCAGGTTTTAGGTGGCCACTACGACGCCCAAACAGCATCCCAACGTCTTCGCGTCCACTCGCTTCCACATCGTCCTGCCTCCAGGTGCGGGAATTGACGCTTGAGAGCTGGCAAGCCCGTATTCGCGCGGGCCAGGTCCATGGGTAACCCCGACATGGCTCAGAGGAGATTTTGGACACCGTCGACCTCGTTTCGCCCTTTTTATTACAAGCCTAGCGTTCCATGTGGCACCCGCCATCCATGTCAGCCCCACTAAAATTGGGCACAAACGGTCCTAGTTTGCAACATCTTGCTACAGATGTTGCTACAGATGTTGCTTCAGATGGGTCTGAGTTTTGGCTGTGTGCTGTTTCTGTGGTGCGCTTCTCCGTGCGCAGACCCCACCATGCGCGAACCGGTGTCAACTGCTCCATTCGACCGATCTTTCGCACCACATTCACGCTTACACAGGCTCAGTGGACTCTAAAGCAACTCCAGTATATAACCAGCTCAAATCACCTGCGGATGCATTTGGCCAGAGTCCTTTGAGCTCAACATGCAATCATGCCATGCCTAACACAAGGCAAATAGACTGTGCTTGGGATCAAGGCAAGGGTATGGATCTGGTCCTGGAGCCCTTTGGGATTGCATCAATTCATAGGAAGCAGGAAAAGGATACCGTATCGCCGTATCGTATCCAAGCATCTTCGAGGCGCCCTCATTCATGCCCATCAGATCATGTCTTGGAGTGCAGTTAGTTAGACACACAAATGATCACAAATGCAGTTGGGAACTGTTCTGCACCTCCCAAGAAATCTCATCCATCAGCTTCTCATGCTTGATGCGAGCATTTGCCTTTCAAACGGCTGCACTGAAGTTGCATGGTCACACACACACACACATATATATATATATAGACATATGTTATTTTGCGTAGACCTGTGTTGGCTTTTCAAAAGGAAACCAAGAGCGAAAGGCCAAAAGGCTCTGCGACTCATCAGAGCCGAGCTGGACGTGTTGGGCCAGTCTGGTTGGGGGAACTGCACAAAACAAGCGCCCAACTCGGCTTCCTCGGCTTCCGCACAAAGGCCCACGCAGTCCGTGAGAGGTCCTGGGTCAATGTTCCGTTCGGCCATTGCCCAAAGGCTGCGCCATCGAAAAAAAGGTTCCAAACATGTCCAACACAAAAAATGTGGACACAAATGTCGATCACCTATCGACAGATCACCTATGTCGGGACGTATGTAGATCACTGGTCAAAAAGCAGTCGTTGGCACGATCCGAACTCTCCTGTGGGTTCATGTCCTTGACCTTCGCCACAACGGCACTCGCAATAGCCTCCAGGTGAGGAAGGCCATGTAACTGGCCATGTAAGTGGAACACTGGGACGGTGCCGGAGCCAAGTGAAACTGCGTGAAACTGCGTGAATCCGTGCCTGCATCCCGTTCTCGGCTTTGTCGCTGTTCATCTTGGAGATACCCCAGGCAGCATTACAAAGCTCTAAAGTCTTGAACCTGTGCACGACCAGATCTTCAGTTTTTTCAGATGTCTGCCACGGTGTGAAGCGCTGCCATCCAAAAAGGACCATCAAAGCTCGGAAGTGGTTGAAAGCAGCCTCTCAACCATTTCCTCCAGGCGAGCCAGGACAAGTTCAAGCAACTTCTCGTCTTTCACCTCGGGAAGGGCTGCGAGGGAGAAACAAAAACATCAAATTATGCCATCCCCAAGTGTACCACCCTGTCCCGCGCACAGTACTTGTTCTATCTTGTTCCACTCCCAATGCTAACCAAAGACCTGTAGCCTGTAGGCCAGTTCTTGTGAGCACGTCGTGAGCCCGTCGTGAGTTCTTCTAAGTCCTACACCTTGGTCGGGCTGAGGCCAGTGCTGCTAGCTTGCCATAAGAATAGAGCAAGTTCGCACAACCTGGCATTTCACAAGTGAAGACTGCATTTGGTCATGCATTTGGCCATGTTTCGCGGCAACAACATGCGCATCCTTCCACCCAAATGTCCATTGGTGCATCGCCCTGTCCGGCTTTCTTACTTCTGTCTCCGATCGCTGGGTGAAAGGCATTGAGGATCAAAGCGACCCATCTTCTTCTGAGCCTCTGCACTGATGACCTGCCGACAGTGCAGGTGGCGATTCGCTGCGACCAGTGACGACATCGCGTCGATTCGCCAACCGGAATTCGCGAAACCTCTCTTCGCGTCGCGGTCGGGCCACAGGAGCAAGACCCTACAAACCAGCTTTTCCCGCATCATGAGGTGCCCATATAACACCCATGGCTGAGCAAATCATGAGGACAAAAACACACAAAAAGAACTCGTTGGAAGCTTCTTCTTCGGTGTCCCGTTGCCTTGAAGAGATCTTGATCCTCCTGACTCACTGTGGCAAAAGCCTTGGCGACTGAAGAGTGCGGACTTCTCTCTCCAGATGGGAGAGAAGAGCCTTCAGCTCCTGAAAAGCTCACCTGGTTCTCTGAAAGCCTGGCAGGGGTGAACTCTGAGCTCTCCACCCAGGCTGTTATTGCCAGGTTTTGTGGCTCAAACCTCCGCATCGCTGGGACGAACGGACTTCAGGTCAGCCCCTGACACCGATAGGCGTAGTATAAAACGTCCTCGAGGATGAGGTTGGTTTCTTGGGCCTGTCCTATTGCCAGGGCCGATGATGATGGTTCAGTTGGCCGACATCTCTAGTGGCAACTCATTGTTTACCAACTGTTACTGTTACAGGTCATGGGACAGGCGTGTCTACGCCGTATACCGTATACTGTTAAACCAAGCCGGTGCTCAAACGTAGATCGTCTCTCATCACGCTCGGGTTCGGGCTCTGATGCTCGGCGCGCCACTTGCCGACTGATGGCCTACGAGGCAGAGGGCTGGCAGACCTCAGTCTGACCTTCTGCGGTCGAAGAACCCCAAATATGTGCCAACGTTTGCACAAAAAACTCAGAGAAATCACGGGTGATTCAATGATCAAGATATATCAAGATGATCAAGTCAACTTCTAGTTCCAACTTCTGCAAACATCTAAGTCACCCAGGGCCCCCCCCGCACGCAACTCTCGGCCACCCCCCCACAACTTGCGCACTGCTCCCCACACAACCTCCCTGCCCTTCCCGGGGGTGCTGGAGGTGGAAATGTACATCAAACACCGTATCACACAAGGGTATTTGCACACTACGGATCCATGTGCTTTACCGTTGTTGAGCAAGGTTACCACACGATGAATTAAACATCATTAAACCATCAAGAGAAGATTCAGTGACGAATTACCAATTTACTGGTCAAGGCTGAATGGTATTCAAGCCGGGTTTATTTTGAATGCATTCACGAACTCTTTGGTACAGGTTGTGACGCTGGGAAAAGGTCAGAGTTTCCGCAATCGATGGCCTAAATTGTGAGCAATTAAGCACGGGCTCAAATGGAACGCGAACATTTAACAACTCTCGGCCATAAAATCTGGATCGCGAGGCTCCATACAGCTCCTCTCTCCCGCCACTCAGCATGATGCTAAGCTAAGCCTTGGACCTTCAAGGCCTTCTGTCTCTGTGTCCCTGAAGTGCCTCGAAGAGGTCCTCATTGTGAACGGCCAGCTTTGCGTAGGCCCAAGCGACATTGGCCAGATCCTCGCTGTTGCCACAGCATTGCGGACTGGGATTCTGGGACATGTAAGGCATCGTTTTTGCAGTGCTTTTCTTTCCCTGCAGTGCCTGATACGACATGATGGCGCACCTGGTATGTCATGCTGGCCAGCCGCTGGCAAATATCCTGCCTTAGTTTTGTTACAACAAATGTAAATGCACCCCCTGCGGCACATCCAGTCATACAAAAAGGTCACAGTTACGCATGCCAACTCATGAAACTGGGTTGAGAGTAGATGGCGCAATTTCCAAAAGGCGGTTTATATGGACCCCCATATCAAAGACATCTTGGGGTTTGTGCCATCTACTCTCAATCCACTGTAAACTGTGTGCATCTCTGGTCATCAAGTCTTTCACGTCTTCGCAATCAACATAGTCGAGCAAATCAAAATGAACAGTGCCAGAGCCAAGAGACGCGAATTTCCCCAGTAGCATGTCATCGCGGTGGTCTGCGCTGGCCAAACACCAAGCTGCAACCTGGCGATGCTAGGGTGCAGGTTAACAGGTACAATGGACTGGCGTCCATGGCGCAAAAAAGCACCAAATGTGCCTGCGGGTTTTTGTCTGTTATAAATATATATATATATAATTAATTGTTATATAACTGTTATATTGGTATCAAATATATATATATATATATGCGCGTGTGTGTGTGTGTATACTGTATATACATATATCCGTCAAAGGTTCTTGCACACCCTGTGCTGTAGTTCATTGATGAAAAGCTAGGCCTGACCCCTGAAAAGGAATAATGCTGCAGAAAAAAAGAGGTGACAAGAAGGGGTAAGAAAACGTAAGGTCAGAGCCCCTTCAATGAGGTGGCTTCCAAGGAACGCGCCGAAGGTGCCCTGACCATGTGGTCCTTCAACGATCTCGGATGACCCGTCACGGTCTCGGACCCCACCGCCAGATCGCCCACGGCCAAGGCGGAATATCGGATCATGAGCTCCGATTTGAAGCTGGCCTGGCCGGCGCGCCGTAAGCCGTTGGATGATGAAACACACTGCGAATCTGGTGAACTGCATGGGTCTTAGAGTTGATTTAGGGGTTTGAATGTTTTAAGGCGGGCTGTTTGACTAATTTCTCAGCCCATGCAACTAACAAGTGGTACTGGAACAGGCTCCGACTGCACGTTTTCGTCGATTCACTTCGCTGCAAAACCGAGCCCTGCTAATGACGGTGACATTTGCTCTGCAAATTCACGAGCCGCTTACATCCTCCATGTTCCTGTCACTGCTGCAGCCCTCATGCAGCCTGGAAAATACCCCTCAGTCAAACAGGTTCTTTTGCTGAGGCTTGGCATCGTCAAAGAGAGGGTTGCGCCCAGCGGAGGCAGGAGTACCTCCAAACACGCTGGCCGGCTTTGGCGCGGCCGTGACTGCAGGCCGCGCAGCAGGTGTTGCTGACACGGTGGCGGTTGAGACCACCGGAGCCTTAGACACAGCTGGCACAGCAGGGCTTGGCTGTGCATATGCTGGCGTTGCCTTTGGCGCTGCAGGTTTGGCTGGGGGGAGCGGCTCCTCCTCCTCAGCCTCAAAAGCTATGGCAGCCAAGGTGGGGTCCCTGGTGAGGACAGCGCT